ACATATTCCTTCGTGGCAGTTCATCTTAACAAGCAAATCGCTGATCGATAAATCTGATATTTACGATATGCTTCATCCATGGCTTGGCACTGGTCTCCTCACTAGCACGGGGCGCAAATGGCACACGCATCGTAAGATTATCACACCGTCCTTTCATTTTAAGATTTTGCAAAATTTTCACGACGTTATGAACAAGAATTCGAATAAGTTCGTTGAAATACTGCGGAAAGTATCGCAAAATGATGCCATATTCGATTTTCAAGACATGACGCACTACTTAACGATGGATGTGATTTGTGGTAGGTTGCCAGTGGGAAAAAATTAAATATGCTATCACTAAATAATACTTTCTGTGTCTGAAATAGATACCGCGATGGGCGTTCATATCAATGCAATGGATAATCATGACCACAAGCTAGTGCAGGCTTTCAAAGAGTGAGTAGCTTGATTTCTATTAGAACGCATTTGTTGCTCAATAGCATTGCTCTCTCTTCCAGCATGTGTTATAACATTAATATGCGCGCATTTCATCCGCTAAAAAGGTCGAATATTTTATATAGATTTTCGCCGGACTATCCAAAGTACAGTAAGACATTGAAAACTCTGCAAGACTTCACAAATGAGGTACAAAAACGCAAATAAATAAAAACGAAATAGTTCATTCATGCCCACATTTCCTTCTAGGTTATAACGAAGCGTAGAGAAACACTTAAACTTGAAAAAACGGAGGGAGAAGAGAATGAGTTCTCTCGCAAAAAGCAGGCCTTTCTGGACACTTTGCTCTCGTCCACAATCGACGGGAAATCGCTCACACAACATGAGATCTACGAAGAAGTCTCGACATTCATGTTTGAGGTAAGTTTGTGTTGGGCAAGCAGAAATTGAAGCAGAAATATTTATAAGCGTAATTCACTAGGGGCACGATACAACCACATCTGGTGTAGCATTCACAGTATATTTGCTAGCCATGCATTCTGAAATACAAGTAAGCTAGTAATTTTTTAACGCTGATAACAAGAACGAGTTTTAAATGTCTTCTTTATTTGCACAGAGAAAAGTGTACGCTGAGCAACAACAGTTATTGGGCGACAACTTCAAGGATGAAGCCACTTTCCAGCAGATTTCTGACATGCAGTACTTGGATATGGTCATAAAGGAATCACTGCGTCTCTATCCCAGCGTACCGTTTGTTTCCAGACGTTGTGACAAAGATTACGATATAAGTGCGTTAATAAGCTACCCAATAGGAAAATTAGATTTGTAAAGCTCAAGTTTTTTAACTTTAAGCTGACTGATTACTTCGAGGAGTTAGATAATTTGCAATTATTGCATACTTCCATTCGGCAAGGAAATACCTAGATGGTCTATCAAGAGTACTATTTCAGGTTACATCATAGCACTTTTTTATAATTTATTAAAGCTTCGGCTGGCTGATGAAAGCTTAATTGACAACGTCATTCGAGATTTACGATTTCAGCCATATTGACAGGGCTCAGCAGTTGTTAAACATGAACAGGGTATATTAAGTTTGCCACGATGTTTGTAACCCTCAGAAGCAAACGTTGGAGACCCTATAAAATATATATCTAAATGATCAGTGTGACGAGCTGAATCGATTTAGCCATGTCCGCATGTCTCTCTGTATAAAGGCAAACTAGTACTTCAGTTTTTGAGATATCGATCTGAAATTATTCACACATTCTTTTCTCCCCAAGAAGCTGCTCCTTTGTCGGAACCGCCGATATGAGATCATTATAGCATATAGCTGTCATACAAACTGACCAATCAGAATCAATTTCTTGAAAATAATCTTTTGTATTTATGAAGTGTATTGACCTTCGGTGCAAACGAAGTTAAAGTTTTTTTTATTTGTTTATATTTTGTTTTACTTATTCGAATTTGGAAAACTTATTTCACTTTTCTCCCCACAGATGGTTTCGTTGTGCCTGTAGATACTACCATAAATCTTTTTCTAATGGCACTCGGTTATAATGAAAAGTATTTCCCCGATCCCTACCGCGTGGATCCTGATCGTTGGGGAGCAAAGAAACGCACCCAAAATCCCTTTGAATATCTGCCTTTCAGCGCGGGTCCGAGGAATTGCATAGGTGAGTAATTTGATATATTACAATGTATTTAATTTTTGAATCAAACTCTTTTCAAAGGACAAAAATTCGCGTTGCTCGAAATCAAAACTGTAGTTTCGAAAGTTGTGCGCACTTTCGAAATACTGCCGCCATTGGACGAATTAGCCTCCACAGATGGCTACTCGAGACACTTCATTGGGTTGTCGCAGGAGGAACAAAGAAAGCGACTACCGAATCCAAGCAAATATGACCCGATATTGTCGGCAGTGCTGACCCTCAAATCGGAGAATGGTATTTCCATACGACTCAGAGAGCGCCCTTAGAACCGAAGTGGCAGGAACAATAGCATTATGTAATATACATATATGATTTCTTAATGTTGGTTGCATTTGTTTATTTTTAAATATTGCTAATTAAATATAAATATGAATAAACGATATATCTTAAATTAGTTTGTTTGATGTCCATGTATGTATACTGAGTGGTTTTTGTTGCTTATCTTATAAATATATTATTATGACTGAGTAATTCATTAAGCTGCCACTAGCACAGTACCCACGTAGGGCTCAGCGTTAAACTGTGTGGGATCAATAATTTGGCTGTAAAAAAGGGAAAATAAATTCCATAAGGTATTTGGTGCTAACGTGTCACATATTTAAATTTACCCATCGACGTATTGCGACTGTATGGAAGTTGTAATCACTTCCGCTCTTGAACCCAACGAGTAGTGAGTGTTGACGTTGAAAGTCTTATTAGCATTGCCCAAGTTCAGCACTATCACATACAGATCGCTACCAGATTTTTGGCTACAGAGTACAGAGGTAACAGAATTTGAGAAAATACTCAATTGGAATAATATGTAGCGACAGAAACCTACCGTGAGTAAATGATGAGATCGTCATCGATCGCCTTGATGTCCAAATCGCCATCCTGGAATGACGGCTCTTTGCGCAGGCGTATGAGCTTCTTGAAGATCTGCAGATGCGATTGTGGGGCACGTTGTTGAGCCAAAGCGTTGTTTTGCTTATAGTCATCGGACACCGGAAGCCAAGTGTAGTCACCAGTGGTGAAACCTGTTGTAATTTAATAACAAATGTTGAATTTGCAGATAAGGCATAATTGAGTTTAAAACACTTACCAGCATTGGGTGATGCATCCCACTGATAAGGTGTACGCGCAGGATCGCGAGATAAATCGTAGTATCGGTCAGGATTTGAATTACAGGCCTGTGGATCCACGGAGTCCTCCCAGCTAATAAACACATCAGTCATAGCAAGTTCTTCGCCCTGAAAAGAAGGAACCGATATATTAATGTACACTTTTGACTGGATAAAAAATCTGTTATTTACATTGTAGGTCACCGCATTGCCTGGCAATGTTTGGAGCAGAATGTTGAAGAGATCGGCACGTTGCACGCCGTACCGTGAGGCCAAACGCTTGTTGTCGTGATTGCCCAGCACCCAGTTGGCGATCACACCATCAGGCATCGCATTCATCCAGTTCTCGATGTGTTCCACCACCACCGGCGCCTTGGTGTCGTTCAAGAGGTTTGTTAAGAAATCGAAATTGAAAGGAATGTGCGAGCCATTTCGTATTCCATTACCATAATAAAGAATCATGTTGTCGAAGCTGGTGTAAGCTTCGGTGAGCAGAATGCGTGTATCACCACCATGCTCCTTCTTGAACTCATCGGCGAGCGCACGCCATTGGTAGACCATATCGAGGGTTTCGGGCATATTTTGTGTGTAGATATGTTGCAAGTGACAACTGTCATCGGGATCAGGACATGTGCTTACATCATCGATGATCGGTTCATCTGGGTAGTTATTGTAGCGGTCCAAATCTTGTTCGAATAGGTAAGGTACAGCGTCAATGCGGAAGCCCGCGATACCCTTACCCAACCAGAAACGCATAACATTCTTCATTTCATTTACAACAGCTGGATTGCGGTAATTGAGATCCGGCTGTTTGGTGGCGAATTGATGCAAGTAGTATTGTTGACGCACTTCGTTCCATTCCCAAGCAGAGTAACGGAAAGCGCTCACCCAGTTGCTGGGCGGCTGACGTTCACCGGTAGTTTCGTTTACTATGCCATTATGCCAAATATAGAAGTCAGTATATGCTGGATCACCATCCACCGACTTGATGAACCATTCATTCTCATCACTGGAGTGATTTGGCACGAAGTCCAGAATGATTTTGATGCCCACCTCTTTGGCTTTCTTGATCATATTTTCGAAATCCTCCATTGTACCATATTCTGGATGAATTTGATAGAAATCGGAGATGTCATAACCGAAGTCGGCCATCGGTGACTTGAAGATTGGCGACAGCCAAGCCGCTGTGAAACCAATATCCTTCAGATATTGCAATTTCTCAGCGACACCTGTCGGTTATTGAAAGAACACAAAGATGATTAAGTCAGTTAAGCGTTCATTTAAATATTTTTTTACTAAAACTCACCATTTAAATCACCAATACCATCGCCATCACTGTCACGAAACGAACGTGGATAGATTTGATAATAATTTCCGTTCTCCCACCAATCCTTGCCTTGGCTACTGGTGACAAATAAAGCCAGTACCGAAAGCACGGCCAATAGCACCATGGTCGCCTTCTGCATTTTTTCTTTTTCTATTTCACAATAACTCTAATATCTGCGATAAAACTCGTTAGTTCACTTCGTTGGGGTCTTGCTACAAAACTGATACTAATTGAATATTTGCTATTGGTGGTTTTTATATAGAAATCAGGCAATGATTTTTTATAAAGCACTCGACAAATTAAATGACAAGTAAAAACAAAAAATATTGATAATTATTGAGTGCAGTCTTTGTGATTTTTATCAAACAATTGCTTTGTAAACACTATGTGAACCACTTTGGAGAAGCGCGTAAAGTCACCTGCTATGACTATGCTGATCATTTGATTCACATGAGATTGACTTTAAGTGGCATGGAGCTTTTATTTTGCAATATCTTGATTTGGGCTGTCGTTGCGTTGGTGCTGTAGTGACAGTTGTCAGTTCTGCATTGTCAAAGCGGCACTTCACTTCGAGTTGGCAGATTTTTCTACATTTGTACTTTGTTTTCCGTTCGAAGACAGAAAAACAATTGCTTGTGGAATTGTTCAGCTCTCACATGAAACTTTAGTACACACTCAATAGAATCGTTTTGAAGAAAAAGAAAATTGCGAACTGCAATGATAATAAAACTTATCAAATATGATTAAAGGAAACAAATTGAGTGGAATTGAATAACTTTCTGATAACATTAATAATATTATGTCCGTAAAAGTAAGCCCCCCATCTCTAGATTTTCATTCATTCGCAAACGGCCTATTGAGATTATTATTTATAGCCTTACGGTAGTTTTCCAAAGTCAAGAATGCAAAAACTTTACACAAAAGCTCAGCAGCTTTCATTTTTTTTAGTAAAATATATAATTCGAAAAGTATAAAAGTTTTATTTTATGTTTACTCATTTGAAAGAAAGCATCTTAGCAAAACAACAAAAACGAGCAGTAAACTAATCATTCATTAAAAAATAAACTACGAGTGTTGTAAACTAAAAAAAAAAGGGAAATGGAACTAAAAAATGTTAAGCTCAGCTCATACCAAGTAAGAGCACCATAATGTTATCAAAAGTAAACAAAAAATATTGTGTAAGTTTATGCAGCTGTGGCGAGAAACAAAAGTAAATCAATAGTTTTCAAAAAATGCTGTAACTTCTAGAGATCATGCGGATAAAGCCGTTTTAGGTAAACAAAGTAATATATTTTCTCGCCTCACCTCGGCTTGAATTCTATTATCCACTTTTGAAACCGATCAACATATGAACGGCATATAAATTAGGAACGAGCAACGGTTGTTGTCAGTAGCGCAGTACTTCCTGTTAAAGAATTATGGCGAAACTTATCGTAATCTTTCTAATCGCTTTCGCTTTGTGCCACGTAAGCCACAGCGAGCGTGACTGGTGGGAAAATGGCAACTTCTACCAAGTTTACCCACGCTCCTTCAAGGACAGCAATGGCGACGGTATCGGCGATTTGAATGGTAAGCACATCATTTTACTCATTGCAGCAAATTAATGTACTCTGCAGCCTGTTGCCACCAAATTGTTTATATTTATTGCTTTATGTAGGTATACTCGAAAATTTGGACTACGTCAAGAACATTGGCATAAATGGTGTTTGGCTCTCGCCCATCTTTCAGTCGCCAATGGCTGATTTTGGCTATGATATTTCGGATTACACAAAGATACAGCCGGAGTATGGCACGTCGGAGGATTTGCTGGCGTTAATCGAAAAAGCGCATAGCCTCGGTTTGCACCTCATTTTGGATTTTGTGCCTAATCACACCAGCGACGAACATGAGTGGTTTCAACGTTCCATCGCCAATGATTCCTACTATCGTGATTTCTACATCTGGCATGATGGTGTGATCAATGCTACCACCGGTGAACGCAAGCCACCAAGTAATTGGGTTTCGCAATTCCGCTATTCGGCCTGGGAGTGGAATGAGCAGCGTCAACAGTATTACCTGCATCAATTTGGCATAAAACAGCCAGATTTGAACTATCGCAATCCGAACGTTGTCGAGGAAATGAAGAATGTGCTCAGATTTTGGTTGGAGCGTGGTATTGATGGTTTCCGGATTGATGCTGTGCCTTTCTTATTCGAGGCTGATATTGATCCAACAACTGGCACCTACCCGGATGAGCCCGTTATTGCCGATATAAGCTCTTGCCCCGACCCAGATGATTGGTGTCACTTGAATCACATTTACACACATTCGCTGCCTGAGATATTCGATATAGTCTATCAGTGGCGTGAAGTTGTGGATCAGTGGAAACGTGATTACGATACCGACACTAAAGTGCTACTTACTGAGGCTTATACCAGTTTTGAGAATCTTATGCGCATGTATGGTGATGGCGTACATAACGGTTCACATGTACCCTTCAACTTTGAGATGATGGCCGATCTAAATAACCAGAGTACGGCTTCCGACTACGATTACTTTGTACGCCATTGGTTGGATAATATGCCTGAGGGTGTCTACGCTAACTGGGTGCTTGGCAACCACGACAATCCCCGATTGGCTACCCGATTCGGTGCTCAACGCGCTGATCTCATGAATATTTTCTTGCAAACGCTACCAGGCATTGCAGTCACCTACAACGTAAGTGCATACGAGTATATCTAATCTTATAATCCTTAATACTGAGCCTTATTTGTGTCAAATCGAATGCTATTTTCAAGGGTGAGGAGTATGGCTTGGAGGACGGTTACGTGTCCTGGGAGGATAGCGTTGATCCGCAAGCTTGTAATGCTGACCCCGACACTTACCAGAAATATTCACGCGATCCTGAGCGTACGCCCTTCCTCTGGGACAACTCTAAAAATGCCGGTTTTAGTTCGGCGGATCGCACCTGGTTACCCGTGGGCCAGTCATACGAGTCAAACAACGTGCAAGCGCAAGAAGCAGCAGCAAACAGTCATCTAAAGATTTTCAAAAAACTAACCGAATTAAGGAAATCCGAACCCGCTTTCACTGATGGTGATTACGAATCGGTGGTCGGCGACAATTGGCTGAGCTACAGAAGGTGAGCAACGGTCGGAGCAACTTCGAGCACTGTTTAGTAAAAATTTCATTTTACAGGAGCGCATCTACTGGCGATGCATATTACATAATTCTAAATATTGGAGACGAAAATGTGTCTGTTAACTTCAAACAGTTGTATAACGATATAAGCGGCAAGTTGGAGCTTGTTGTCAGTTCATTGCAGTCCGGCATGGAAAATGGGTGAGTGTGGCTACACATTGGTGTTAATGCATATTGATAACTTGAATTATTGTTTACAATTTGCGCAGTCAACAAGTGGACCCCGCTTCGTTTGAGGTGAAAGCATATAACGGCTATGTACTGCGGTTGGTTAACGAGGCATAGAGGGCTTCGATAGGCGCAAGTAACGGATTTAATTGATTGTAACCATGAATTATAAAAATATATAAAAATATTACAAGTATTGCATTGCAAAATCAATGAATTCAATTTTGCTTGCTTTTGGTTTTGCACACTGATAAATTAATGATTTTATTTAAAAGTCAAGCTTTTAGGTTTCTACCCTCAAGTTTCGATTCTGGAATATTTTTGAACAACAAAATTAATTTAATTTTATTTGAAGCAGCAACGTTAAATCACTGGAAGTATATGTAACGCTGTGCCTTTGTATGGTAAATGCTTCAGTTATAGAGACTTCAAATGCAAAGTAAGCAGAGATAATGATTTTCGCATCACTCCCGCACCTACTGAACAACAGAAAGTGGTTGTTTATTTATTTAATGCATGTACGATAATTAATATTACTTAATCAAAACTGCACTTCAGATGTTAAAAGGAAATAAGTGACGAATTACTTTGCTTACCGCCCGCTCTCCCAATAGCTGCATAAATTTAGGCGCATATGCGCGTAGATTTTTTTAGGAATCAGGCGTTTCATTTTAGTTTTTGAAGGGTTTAAGAAACCGAATTCGTCCGAAACCGAAACCCATTTCGTCGCCTTCTTCTGACTCCGACTCCTCGTTTTGGCTCTTCCTTCTTAATAGTGAGCTCTTCTAGTTAGACAAAAGCTGATCAATGTACCCCTCGACACAAGCAGACAAATCCCTGATATAAGATAGTAGTTTGCCATGTTCGTTTTGAAAAATATCATTAATTAAGCGAGAGCATTCACATTATTTTTAAGAATTTCATACGAAGCAGCATCAATCATGAAAAAATGCATAGCTTTCGACTATCGACTTTGCTTACCGCTAAAATCGTGTTATCGCATCAAATAGCACAAACACTTCAAGCGTAGATACTAGTGTGTTACAAGTTGTAAAATGCTTAAGTACAAATGTCTACATTTGATAATTAATGTCCGCGCAATCAATCAATAAATTCCACAAGCTTGAGTATGTGAGTGCACCACTTCGCTTCATGCAATGCGTTTTGCATAATAATTTGTGCGATTATTGTCAATAAATATGATAACGTTCGCTTATCGGTCACCAACAATAACGTTTAAAATCTTAACTTGCTGTAACGGCCTCCAGCAGTTACTTTCGAGATGTTGTCACGGCTGTTAACGTTATACGCAGTGTTGCTGCTTGGTTGTGGCAACTGCTTTGCTGCAAGCACAGTTGATTGGTGGGAATCGGCCACGCTCTATCAAATCTACCCCCGCTCCTACATGGACAGCGATGGCGATGGTGTGGGTGACTTGAACGGCATCACATCTCGGCTGGAATATCTGCAAGAAATCGGCGTGACAGCTACTTGGCTGTCGCCCATATTCGAGTCACCAATGGCAGACTTTGGTTATGACATTTCGAATTTCACAAAGATCGATCCGATTTTCGGCAGTTTGGCCGACTTTGATGCGTTGATAGCGAAGGCGCATAAATTAGGTGTTAAAATTATTTTGGATTTTGTGCCCAACCATTCGAGTGATGAATGTGAATGGTTTCAGAAGTCGATACGTAGGGAAGATGGATATGATGACTTTTATATTTGGGAGGATGGCAAAATTGATCACGAGACTGGCAAGCGCGTACCACCCAGCAATTGGGTGAGTGTCCTATCACGGAGCTGGTATATTTTCGCTTTAACGTTATTCGATTTTGTAGGTAAGTGTGTTCAGCGGGCCGATGTGGACTTGGAACGAGCAACGCCAACAGTATTATCTGCACCAGTTTTTGCCGAAACAACCCGATCTCAACTTTAGCAATCCAATGGTACGCGACCATATGCAGGAAGTGTTGAAATTTTGGGTTGATCGTGGTGCAGATGGCTTTCGGATAGATGCGGTGCCTCATATTGGCGAAAAGCGCTACACGAATGGCACATATCCCGATGAGCCGCTAAGCGGCCGGAGTGATGATCCAAATAGTTATAATTACCTCGAACACATCTACACGAAGGATCAGCCACTAACTCTTGAGGTTGTGTACGAATGGCGAAATTTCTTGGATGAATATAAACGTCAGCAAGGACGCGACACCATGTGAGCGCTATTTCTCAAAACTTGTATGATCTTAAATAAAAAGCATGAATCTTCGACAGCGTCCTCATTGCTGAAGCCTACTCTTCCGTCGAAGTCTTGAGTGATTACATTAATAACGGCACCCACTTAGGAACCCAAATGCCCATGAACTTCAATTTGATGTCAATCAACGGCTATTCGACAGCAAAAAATGTTGAAGACTCTGTAAAAGGATGGATGGATAATATATGGCAAAAACATCAGTCCGCTAATTGGGTGGTGGGAAATCATGACAACGATCGGCTGGCAACACGCATGGGTCAGCACAAAGTGGATCTAATGACTATGCTGGTACACGCGCTGCCCGGCACTTCGGTCACTTATTATGTAAGTTCTGAGTAATCCGATAGTTTCCAGTTGAACTTTCTTAAATCAAGTTTTATGAAATTGGTTCAAATTCTGTCAGGGTGAAGAAATCGGCATGTCCAATGTGGTCACTGAATGCACTGCCATCTCCTGTGAAGACCGCGATCCCGAGCGCACGCCGATGCAATGGGACACTTCGGATCATGCTGGCTTTACCACGGGTCCGACCACCTGGCTGCCCATCTCTTCCGACTACAAACGTTTCAATGTGGCGACCGAACGTGGCGTGGCAAGAAGCACTCTGCAAATCTTTAAAGGAATGACGCAATTGAAGCAAACAGCCGCATTTAAAGCCTTTAAAGATGAGCGTGGCTTCGCCTTTGGAGCAGTTTCGGAACAGGTCTTTCAAGTTGTGCGGTAAATATAGCGATTTAAATGGAATTAGGAGGATGGGCAATACAAATATTTATTCGCAGCAGCGCTTTGGCGGGCGAGGAATATCGCATACTCATTAATATGGGCAACAAGATAGAATATGTGCATGGCTTAGCAAATATAACAATGGAATATGTGCTGCTCAGCCGACATTCGCCACACAGTTTTGGGTAAGTAAGCTGTCGAGTTTATAATTATTAGCTTTTTAGCACTTTCTGCTTCTGTCTATTTAGCGATAAGGTGAATTTGAGTCAGCGTATATACTTGATGCCTTATGAGGCGGTGGTTCTGCGTGGATCTGCCGACAGCGATTGATTCTTTGTTAAATCTAAGAAAACATTGATGTAATATTTCGGAGCAAGGATACCGCGAAGCTTTAATAATAAATCTTCGAAAAGAGGAGAAAATTTTTTTTCTTTTTCTGAAAGTATATTTCATGATCGTAATTTAATGCCAAGGTATTGGAAAATAATAAAAGCTTTTATTTTATTGCTTCAACTTTTAACGAGATAAGTACAATATAAAAACAAATTTAGTGGCTTTGAATAAACGTGCTTTAATAACATTAAATCAACTAATCATTGTTTATGGAATTATTGCAAGATTATTTCTAACGAATCGTCAGTCTATCACACATCCATAAAAAGCAATATGGCACTTGATGTTACCCGAATAGCGGATTTACTACGATTTATTTATTGAATTAAAAATTAGTAAAGGTAAGAAAAATATTGGAAAACGGTCTGTGTATCAAAATATATACATTTATTTATCAGTCCTATGTGTAATATAAAATATTAGATAATTGCTTAAACTATATAAATAGAAAGTGTCAGACTTAGGCGTTTGTGGCCAGCACAATAGCTTCCTTAGGCATTAATATAATGGTGTCTGCATGAACCTTATCCCTGGAAAGTAAATAAATCAATTAGTGAAGCTCTGAAATCAATGTAAACTGTAAAAGTTACGACTCACCCCTTGCGTCTTACGCTTTTGTCAGTCACCAACACATATTCCAATTCATTCGTGAGATCACCAAACACAGAATTTAAGTTGATCATCTCCACGTTATCGTGTAGATTCAGAAGCACAACGTAAGTGCGCTCGCCGTTTAAAAAACTGAAAACGAAAATAATTAAGAAGGTAGTGATTATTTACAATTTAAATATAGTTTAACGTTCTCTCTTACCGCTTAATGCCTAAAACATTTTGGCTGATTGGTTTTACTTCGGCGTCGCCTTCGCGCATTGTCTTCGTTGCACGCAAAAGCTGCAACTGTTTGTAGATATTCAGGTGACTATTGGCAATGCCGCGTTCACGTTTCACATTAACCAGCTCATAATCAGCTGCCAAGGGCAGCCAGGTTTTGTCGGCTTTAGTGAAACCGGCCTTGTGTTCATCATTCCACTGAAATGGTGTACGCACAGGATCGCGAGTGAGACGTTCGTACTCTTCGGGGTTCGATTGGCAACCTTGTGGATCTACAGTTTCTTGCCAGGAAATCCAGACGTCCGTCATACCAATCTCCTCGCCTTGGTATGTGACACTAATGCCAGGTAGAGTCTTCAGTAATACATTGATCAAGTCAATGCGATCTTTTCCCAGACGTGTGCCAATGCGTGATTGATCATGATTGCCTAGCTAATGAAATGAGTATATGTTGAAATTCAAATATATATTAATATTAATCACAATAATTTAATATAGCTACATACCACCCAATTTGCTACGCAACCAGCAGGCATCTTATCTAACCAGTTGTGTATTAAATTCGAGTAGTCGTAGGCGTTCGAATCTTTGTTCACATTGCTGATTAGCTCAAAATTAAAGGGTATTTGTGCACCTTCCACGGTGTCATTTCCATAATACATCATCAAGGTGTTGAGGGGCGCATAAGCTTCAGTCAAGAGCACATGTTCATCACCGCCTAGTTCCTCATCCAGTTCCTTCATCACCTCACGAAACTCATAGACAACATCAAGTGTGCCAGGCTGGTTGGTGGTGTAAACGTGTTGCAGGTATTCATAGTCTTCGGAATCCTGCACATCGGGATTACGTGGTTCATCAGGCCAATTGCCATTAGCATCGGTAGTCACTTCATAGATATGTGGCACGGCGTCAACACGAAAACCGGCAACACCTTTGCGCACCCAATAACGTAACACGTCCTACTTGAATTATGGAAATTATTTTTGAGTTGTAAATTTGCTTGTGATTACGAACCTTCATGGCTGCGCGCACTTTGGGATTGTTATAATTAAGATCCGGTTGCTTGGCATGAAACTGATGCAGATAGTAGGCCTGGCGTTGTTCATTCCATGTCCACATGGAGCCGCGAAAAACACTTATCCAGTTCGTTGGTGGCACAAGCGAATTATTCTTACCTGGATGCCAAACATAGAAGTCCCTATACTCTGGATCATTCTGTACTGATTTAATAAACCACTCGCACTCATCACTCGTGTGATTGGGCACAAAGTCCAAAATGATTTTCACTCCAATCTCTTTAGCTTTTGCTAACAGTGCTTCGAAATCGTCTAGTGTGCCGAACATCGGATCGATTTCCGTGAAATTGGCCACATCGTAACCGAAATCTGCCATTGGCGAGGTGAAGATGGGCGAAAGCCAAGTGGCATCGATTCCGATCTCTTTCAGATAGGGCAGTTGTAGCATAATGCCTACAGTTATTATATAATATTAATTTATTCTATTGGCTCTTCCTTTTAGCACAGTTACTTACCTTTTATATCGCCGATGCCATCAGCATCACTGTCTTTAAATGAACGCGGATATATTTGGTAGAATGTTGCGCTTTTCCACCACGCCTTATTAGCGGCTGCGCCTGTTGCGGTGTTTATTACCGTCAGGACTACTAAAAATTTCAAAAAAATCCACATAATTTTCTTCAGTTACTTTCACGAACCAACTCTTGGCCCGAGGCGATGCGTTTGCGCTTTTATATAGCGGATCCAAAGCCATTATCGGCGATCGATAAGGGGTCATATAATACCACAAGTAAGTCCCTCATAATTAGCTTGTCTAAGGTATTTATATAAAGTTTATGATGGACCCTCTAGTTTGTGCCTTGGTGGTCCCGTTCAATTGGCTCTATGGGAGGTACCTATTTTGCCGAAAAGTGTTATCGCTATCATAATTGACGTATTTGAAAGTGGTTGAGATAAGCCATACTCCGGTATGGGTAAAACGTGCTATTGTTTATGCAAATATCTGATTATGGTGTCAAGTGGCTAGATTGTGGAAATAATTACTACTTTGTTTGTTTTAAAATAGCTGAAGAACTAATAAATTGTGGTCAAGTAAAGAATGTTATTTGTTTACCTTTCTGGGTTTTTTTTTTTTTTTTTTTTTTTGATATTTATGTTTTGGTTTTCATATACGCTAAAACCAACCTATTCCCATCACATATCTCTCCCACGGAACCACTGGACTAAGTATTAAGATTATTCTATACACTCTGTACACGTCGGACAGTACAGACTATAGTCATGACGAAATTTGTAAAGGTAGCTTCTAAAGCACCCATGTCCTCTTAGTATTTGGGTCACGTGGACACCCTGTGCCCATGTTGTCTATCTATCCACGGTATGATGTCTGGTATCAGCGTGTGGGTCGACCGTCTTTTGGATGAGGGTGTTATTATGATTTTGCATAAATACCGTTCAATCTGGAATTGCTCAAAATGAATAAATCCAGCCAATACTTCCCCTAGCTTCCATGTACGGAACATAGATTTCGAGCTTCGGTCAACGTTATACCGTATACAAGTATATCGGGCAATACTTATGTAAGATATCTTAATCAAATAATGTGAACGAATAATGTTGTATACTAGGGTGGAACGAAACATTTTTTTTGTTTTGCTTAGCCTGAGGGTTAAATTAAGAAAAAGAAAAATTTTTGGAAAAAAAATATATTTTTTTACTCCCTCACTTTAAAATTAAAGTTTCGAGTTAAAATTTGCATTTCGTAAAAATTTTTGATAAGTGTTCTAAAAGCTGTGGAAAGTCCTCTTTCTGGCCAATTAAAAGTTATCAACTTAAAAAAATTCTTTGTGGTCATTATTGGAGTTTTAAAAAAAGTCTTAAACGACAACATACTTTCCCCAAGCGTTAATATAAATTTTGAGTCAAAAACCGTCAAATTCGATAGTTTTTATATAAATGAAAAGAGTTTAAACCAAAAAATTTTTTATTTTGTCCAAAAAACAATTTAAAAAAAAATTTACAAAAGCAAAAGCTCAGACTAAGCAAAAAAAAAAAATCTTTAGCTCCACTCTATTGTATACCCTATAGCTTAATTCCAAAAAGAGGTCGGTCCAAGAAATACGCCAGCCCATATAATACGTATAATTACGTGGAAACATCTTCACAAGTATACTTGAGTAATGTAAAAAATGAATGCAA